CGACTGGAGTACCCTTCTCTCACTTGTCAACCAGTACCGCAAGTACCTGATTGATGATCCCACCCGGCCATACAGCTCCTGAGGTACTACCCCGTACTCTTGTGGACACCACCATCCAACAGCTCGTACGCCTACTACCAGCACCCCTTCGTCGCGCTTCTGCGAATTCTTGGGGCGACCACCTTGGGAACTTTATCACATCCCTCGCCCACATTCCCCAGATTCTTGAGAAGTCGCCTGTATTTCTATGGGGAAAACTTCCGCGCCATGACTCGTTTGTCTTGCTCCTCAAGCTGGACTATCCCAAGACCGAATATTTCTACAGTGGACCCCGCATCAGACCATCTACACTTTTGTTCACAACTGTCCTGGAGCTTCCTTGCAAGGAATCCTTACCGACGGCATCATTCGACCCAGCTCTTGGAAGGCTACACGGGACTCTGATTTCTTCCCCAGCCTGGGCTTCTACTGTCGCTGCTGCTATCCGGGTCACACCCATACCTCCGACAAACGGATCAACCCGGACATTACTGATCAGTTGACCCCGGAACTTTATGCGGCTGCTTTCTAGTGCAACTTTTTGACTCAGGCGCGCGTGTCCAAAACAGTGCCTTCTATGATCTCACAGTCCTTTCTTTCCTTTTCCTTGCCCCTTTCCTTTCCCTGTCCTTTCATTCTTTCTTTCTTTCTTGTCTTTCCCTCATTGCTTTTCACCAATTTGCAATATTTGTGATCCCCTGGTCCTTACCGCCGCTACTTCCTTTCAGCTCTCAATTTTGCTCCGTTCGTGTCACATTCGTCCTTATCGACTTTTCCTTCTGACCATGGCCCGCGGACGCTCCACGAGCAGCTCCCCTGACGCTCATCGACGCCGAGGAAAACGTGATCGTCGCGCCTCCCGCCGTTCCCGGTCTCCACGCAGGAAATCTACTGGGCTTCCAGTTGAAACTCCTCCTTCGACCACCTCCTTCGAGACCCGGTACCCGATTCCCAAGGCCTGGTCCTCCGATGACATTTACTTGGATCGGCAGCAGGAGTACAAACTGACTTTTCCTCGTCGAGTCATCGCAACTGCTTGGAGTCGTGAATTGCATATTGACCACCAACCCATCGAGGATGTACGCCTCATCGACGTACTGAGTCGCAAGCAGGAGAACTGGACTTTAAGGCTTGTCGCCAACGGCAGGTTGGTCCAGTACGAGGGATTCCGACATCGCCCGCATCATCGGTCACCTTCATCCTGCTTCCCTCAAGGACGATTGGGATGAGAAACGCAAAGGCTTAGATGGATTTTTCCCCACATCTCTGTGTGGGGTTCTAGTTTTGTTGGCTGCCATCCCGCCCGCATCCGTCCTTCCTTCCTTCCCTCCGTCCTCCTCGCCCCCTCCTCCACTCACTCGCTCGCTCGCTCACTCCCTCACTCACTCACTCCCTCCCTCCCTCACTCACTCACTCACTGCACACTCACACTCCCAGCAGTCTTGAGAGACTCAGTCACTCACTCACTCAGTCACTCACTCACTCACTCACTCGCTCACTCACTCACTCACTCACTGCACACTCACACTCTCACTCAGTCACTCACTCACTCGCTCACTCACTCACTCACACTCCCAGAGCCAGTCACTCACTCACTCACTCACTCAGTCACTCGCTCACTCGCTCACTCGCTCACTCACTCACTCACACTCCCAGAGCCTGTCATCCAGAGACTGCAGAAGGGGCTGCGGCGCGCGTTGTCGCTGCTGGGCCCCCCTCTCTCTCTGCAGTGGCAGGCGCAGTATAAGAGCCTCCAGAAGGGGCTGCGGCGCGCGTTGTCGCCGCTGGGCCCCCCTCGCTCTCTGCAGTGGCAGGCGCAGTACCCAGAGCCTCCAGAACGGGCTGCGGCGCGCGTTGTCGCCGCTGGGCCCCCTGCGGTTCTGTGCGTTACTGCCATTGTGATTTGCAAAGCAATGGTTGTGACAGGCTGCGAATCGCATTGTAATGGCTGCGGCCAGGATGTGCGCACACTGTGTCTGTGCACTACTGCCATTGTGATTTCCATAGTATTGGTTCTTGCCGGTTCGGAGTCGCATTGTAAATGCTGCGAGAAGGATGTTTGCGAAGTGTGTCTGTGCACTGGTGCCATTGTGATTTGCAGGACCAGTGTTTGCGCGGCATGCGAATCGCCTTGTAAATGCTGCATAGAAGTTGTTTGTGAAGCCTGTCTCTGCGCTGCTGCCATTGTGATTTGCAAAGAAAGGGGTCTCACTGCATGCGAATCGCATTGTAATGGCTGTGGCAAAGATGCTTGCAAGCTGTCTCTGCGCGGTACTGCCATTGTGTATGAGAACGGAGAGAAGGCATTCGCAGCCGATTGTATATTTGCCTTTTCTAGTCGGATATTCTCACTCACTCACTCACTCACTCCACTCACTCCACTCACTCACTCACTCACTGACTCACTCACTCACTCACTCACTCACTCATCGCTCTTCTCTACTTTCTCTCTTAAGGCCGGGGGCGGCGCCGCCGGAGCGCCACGAAACGCAACCCTCTGCGGAGATCGCGCGCGTCGAGGGCACGAAATGCAGGCGAGAGTGCGTTTTGGATTTGGCGCGGGCAACCCTCTGCGGAGATCGTGCGTGTCGAGGGCGCGAAATGCAGGTGAGATCGCGTTTTGGATTTGGCGCGGGCAACCCTCTGCGGAGATCGCGCGTGTCGCGGGCGCGAAATGCAGGCGAGAGTGCGTTTTGGCCCGGTCGCGGGCAACCCGCTGCGGAGATCGTGCGTGTCGAGCGCGCGAAACGCAGGCGAGAGTGCGTTTTGGCCCGGTCGCGGGCAACCCTCTGCGAAGATCGCGCGTGTCGAGGGCGCGAAACGCAGGCGAGAGTGCGTTTTGGCCCGGTCCGGGGCAACCCTCTGCGGAGATCGCGCGTGTCGAGGGCACGAAATGCAGGCGAGAGTGCGTTTTGGCCCGGTCCGGCACAACCTTCTGCGGAGATCGTGCGTGTCGAGGGCGCGAAATACAGGCGAGAGTGCGTTTTGGCCCGGTCCGGCGCAACCCTCTGCGGCGACCGCGCGTGTCGAGTGCGCGAAATGCGGGTGTAGTACAACTTTAGTGCGCGGAGCAGTCTGTGGAGCTGGAAGCTGAGAACTGGCGACTTTGTAGTACAACTTTAGTACGCGGAGTATCTGGGAGCTGGAAGATGAGAACTGGCGACTTTGTAGTACAACTTTAGTACGCGGAGTATCTGGGGAGCTGGAAGATGAGAACTGGCGACTTTGTAGTACAACTTTAGTACGCGGAGCAATCTGTGGAGCTGGAAGCTGAGAACTGGCAACTTTGTAGTGGAACTTGAGGACGCAGAGTATCTGGGGAGCTGGAAGATGAGAACTGGCGACTTTGTAGTACAACTTTTGTACGCGGAGTATCTGGGGAGCTGGAAGATGAGAACTGGCGACTTTGTACTAGTACGCGGAGTATCTGGGAAGCTGGAAGATGAGAACTGGCGACTTTGTAGTCCACCTCTTTGCGCGGAGCAAGCTGTGGAGCTGGAAGCTGAGAACTGGCGACTTTGTAGTACAACTTTTTTACGCGGAGCAAGCTGTGGAGCTGGAAGCTGAGAACTGGCGACTTTGTAGTACAACTTTAGTACGCGGATGAGTCATCTCTCGCGGCTGAGTCATCTCTCGCGGCTGCTCTGGCGCCCTGCAGCTGAGTCACCGACCACCCCTCTTGAGAGGTTGACAAATTTTAGCTACTTTGCTTACTCATAAGTGGCTGCCGCAAAAGAGTCATCGTGATGTTAGTATGTGTGTACTTCACCTTCATGACAAACGATGTTCGCTTGGAATACACGAGTCGCTTGTCATGATCGTGACGTCGTTTACTCTCAGGTCGCCCTGTTCGTGGAAACTTCAGTGTGAAATGTACGTTCTTCAGTTCTATTTGAACCTCTTCAGCGTTGCACTTGCACAACTAAGGTTGACGTTGCGCTGCCGTTGCATCGACGCATCTACGTCTACACCCCCTCACCTCTCTACACTTGCATCATCTTACATCTTCACACGCTCACGTCCGCAGATCTACCTCTCCACCTCACCACACCCACACATCTGCACATCTATATCACATCTGTACATCCACACTGTCGCTCCTTCACATCTGTCCTGTCTTTCTTTCGGAAACAGACATGCGCGACCCGTCGTCACTCTGTCGCGATTCTGCTTTTCGAGTTCGCGAGCCTTGAGTGTTTTAGTTGAATTTCACTTACTACCTGACCCTCAGGCGGTCATAGCTAGGTGGGCGTGTGGCAACCGCAACCGAATCAGTACGCACGTCAATAACTTTGCACGCCCCCTGGAATCAGCGGTTAGCTGCTAAGCTAGGGGTTCTCTCAGCGCGTGCTTTCAGATGACCCAGTTTGTGAAGATTACAATAGGCCGAGGTCGCGATCGGCGATAGGTTTGTACTCGTGACTCAAGACCGACTCATGCCCAGAAGAAAAACACACTAGAAGCAGCTCAGCCCATGCCTGCTCGCACCTCTGTCCGAACTACCTGTCGACCTTTCGTCCACCTCCGTCGAAGGGGGCTTTGCTCTCGGAGCCTGCGTGAGACGAGAGCCAACAAAGAGGCGCACGCAGTCCTTGTGACCTGCATCTAAGTGCAGCTAGTGGGTCCTACGCTGTTGGTCCCTGCTTGTGACTAGAGTCACCTTTCTGGCCAATGCATCCGTTCATCACCTCGGCGGATGAGCATTTGATTCAAACTGGAATCTGGAGACTTGAGGCTCGAGAATTCTGCAGTGTTGCTATCAGGGGACTTGCAACTTGGGAATTTTGGACTATCTTGTTCTTTTATCAAGACGTTGGAACATCGCCGCGAAGGGCTGCAGGTAACAAACTTGAATCAAACCATTTTTTCATTCAGGCCGTCCGGAGATAGTGCATTCAGTCCGCTCTTCTTTCTTTAGTGTGTGAAGTGAGCACTTGCTGGCGTTTAATCGCTTATTTCAGGAGAGCATTTACCCGAGCCAGGCTCGTTCAGTGATGCCCTGACTGAATTAGGCAGAAGACTCATTGAACCAATGCCACAATTGTCCTGCTTTGTGCACATAGCTGCCAAATCCGCAAGGATGTTCAAACATTGCCCAAACAGCCTTCTACCTGCATTCTACCTTTTGTCGTCAGTTGACAAACCGTACATTTTGACACCTGCTCCTGCTGCCACGTCGGGTTCATAGGTCTTGGAGTTGAACTGTTTTGGAAGGTCAACCCGACACTTGTGCAAGCGGCAAGCGTGTTTCAGCAACGGTCAGGTGTCCTACAATGCAGCCATGTCAGCATGCTCTGCAGGCAAACAAATGGGTTGGCATTTAAAGTAACGATGTTTGATTTGTAGCTATTTTTTGCGAGTGTTCCAACTAGGTAAAAATTGGAGTTTTCTGCAAGATTGTAAGTCTTCATGCCTGGAAAACGCATAGGTGCGGGAATGCATGGTTATGCAATGTTATGGAATGTGTTCACAGTGTTTCTACTCAGCATACTGGTTTCGTCTCGACATTGTTTGTATTTATGTGCCAACACAAGGCACTGTACGTCACATTGTATGTCGCATAGATTCCTATACCTCATCAGGTGGCCGAGACAAGGAAGCATTAGAGCTCCTTGCTGAGATGCATCATACCCGTTTCAGCCCGGACCTGACCACGTGACCAACGATTGTTTTGCAAACACCGACAGTGCATCAAACCATCAAAGCATCATCCTGCCTGTACAATACTTTGCCTTTGCATTTGATTCTTTTCATAGCAAATTTACTGTATTCTTTGCTTTTGCCGAGATATCAGGTACAACTGTGCTGCGACTGCCTGTGGAAGGCCCGTGATTGCCACAACATTGTTCAGGGGCGTAGGGTCCTACACACAGCTGTCAGGGCCTACAGGCCTACGACTCAGCGGGTGCAGGAGAGAAATGAATACAAATGTCTCAGACTAGATCGAAAAGCTCATTGGTGTCGTATTGCAAAGCGCCCTCTCACTCATTGGCACTTTCAAGAAGCCTTGTCCTCCCCACATAAACATGCTAAGTTCTCACCATGGCATAGGGCTTCCATGAGGCTGGGGAGCGCTCTGACCTTGATAGAAGAAGCAGAGCAATCTCGGCTAAAGCCAGATGTGCTTAGCTTCCTAGCAACTTGGCCTTGAAGTGGAACACGGGACTTTGTTTGACATTTCGACCCGCAAGCTGAACATAGCAACAGCAGAAGTGCTGAACAATTGGAATTGGATTTCAGCACCTCTGCACATTTGAAGGAAGGTCACGTTCATTCAAGTCACAACTGCGGAAAGCTGTGCTGTTCCAAATCTGCACCCTCAACAAAACCACCATAGGACCCAATTTTTGCAAGTAGTCGGCGGCAAGGGAGGAGAAACAGGAAACGTCAAAGTACTCCTCCTTGGCGACCGAGCGTTTGCGTCCCTACATGACAGAGAGAAGCATCCTCCGATTTCAGTAGTCAGTTCTTCAGGCTTTGGTACCAGCCCTGGGATGTTCAGCCGAACCGTCCGGAACTGAAAGTCAGCGGTATTTGCCGCATGAAGGAAATGAGTTTTGATGTTCTGGTGGGTTGGGGGTTGCAGCTTTGTAGGGGACCCCATCCGATATCAAGTCAAATCAGTCTCTAGTGGGAGTCAAACCAACTATCTACCAAACCATGTTGTTGCACGATTGCATAATTAACTTGCCTGGTGTGGCTTTGGACAAGCTTGGCTCAATTGTCAATACACACCTTTGGCATCGGTTTGGTATTGACCCTTGGGTGTGGCACCTTAGGGCCAAGATGTAGACAGGAGTCACAGTGACATATTTGTTGGCAACATGTTTGTATTTTGTTGGCAAAATAATATGCTACCCCCCTCCAAGATTTACCTTTTTTATGCTTTTGACAGATGCAGATGGTTGTGGACCAAGGTCTAGCTGTGATAAGAGACAGTTTGACAGATGCAAGTGAGCAAAGGAAACAGAAACTGGAGGACAAACAGTTGATTGGATAAGAAGACAATGATGTTACAGCATTAAGTTAAAAGATGAAAACAATGAACACAATGTTCAAGGGGCTTAAGGGGGAGACATAGAAAACAATAACAATAAAGAAAAATGAAAGGCGAGTACATTATTGCAGGGGATGTTTCTATTAAAATCATATTAGAGCAAAAGCGCACACAATATTTGAGGTGGTAATATTATTGAATATGTTTAGACATGGAAAAGCATAGGATAGGCATTGATTCATCCAGGTGGTGCTATTATTAAAGCCAAAAAAGCCATTATCATCGCCCGGGGTTATACTGTATATACGGTTCAAGATTTCTAGTGTGCTGGGCAACTCCTTGGTGGAATAGATGTTTGCAATGAAACAATTTAGTACGGGATTTAACAGAAACTAATTATAGAAATTCAAAGGAGATCAACGGGAAGCAAAAGGACTTTGAAAGGAAATGACAAGGAATCAGACGGAGTTCAAAAAGAAATCAATTGGAATCAATATCGAAACTTGCATGATTTCAGAACTGTAAAGGTAATTATTCAAAACCAACAATCGTTCAACGGGGAATCACAAAGAATCAAAAGGAGTTGAAAAGGAAACCGATTGAAATCAAAAGAATGTATATAACAGGGACTCATTTGAAATCACAAAAATAACAGGTAACCAACAAGGACCACAAGTAGATTAAAAGAAAACCACGTGTAGTCAAAGGAATTTAAAAAGGATATCCTTTGACATCAAAAGAATTGTAAAAGGGCACCAACAAGAAACAAAAATAATTCAAAATAAATTTGAGAGGACATCAACAGGAATAAAAGGGGTATAGGACTTATAGTAAAATGCTGACTTCCCAAAGCTAGGGACTTAAACTATGTTTAAGAAAGTCAATGAACAAATATTGGCTCGTGCGGTTTGAGAAAGCCACATATATTCTTAGAAAGGAAAATGAAACGATTTTAAAAAGCGTATATTAATATTTTTAGATTTTAGGGCCTGAAATTTATAGATATTCTAAATATCGGAGGTTCCCGAGTTTTCCCGGGTTCCCGGAGCAAATATTATTCCAATGTTATAAATATAGAACATACTTATCGTATCTATAAATTTCTGGCGCCCGAAAGCTAGAAATAGTATAAATAGTTGGTTTTTCCTTACAAATGTGGCCACCTTCTTCCCAGCCACGGAGGAGGCTAGAGTCATGGAAAACAAAACACATTCAAACAAACAAACAAACAAAAAATCCAGAAGTTTTTGGGGAACGGGGGCAGAATAGTGTTGTTTGTTTGACGGTTTTTGTGCTTTTTTTCTTGGCGGCATTGGTTTTGGTGCATTCAGATGATGATCAAATGATGATTTCAGAAATACTATATATATATATATAAGCAATGGCGTTCTACGATTGTCACCGTCACCCCCATAGCGCCCCCTTCTGCTAGACAAACCTGTATCAGAGGCCTAAGTGCTTTTAAAAAAACTAGTGTTTCATTTAAAACATAGTTTTCAAATTTTAATATTTATATTCAAGACTGCTGGAAAAACATGTTCTAGAATCTTGAATCCAGGTCCCCAAAACCTAGTTTCACTGTTTATCTCTAATCTATGCATATATCTATACACATATATACATATGGTATCCCCCGCACATCTGACACTAAGGCATTAAAACCACATGAACAAGGTAGATCTTGGGGGGCACCATATATTTATATATAGTTATATATATATGTGTTCTTGGAGTTCATAGTAGCACTGAGTGGTCAAAGCAGACGGTTGAGACTCCTTTGGTTGCATCGCTATGAAGCCTGTGAACTGGTCCAGGAATTTGAGACTCGCCTTCGCTTTGGATCAGGCAGAGGCCGGAGGGAAGAAATGGGCAAGGAAAGAGGGGTGCAAGGGGAAAAACTTTCAAAAAAAGGAAGGTAAGGCTTTCTGTAGCCTTTCAAGGGAACTTTACCTTCCTTTTTTCATAGCTCTTCGGATTTCTTGGAACAGGCTATCCTCGGCGACAAGCCTCCAGGCCTGATGCCACATGGGACTTAAGGAAAGCTACTACATTCTCAAGAGAAGTTTCACAATTTTCACCAGTGGCAAACCCTGGCAAACGGATGCAAATGCGAATGTGCCGACTGGCCAACCTGTTCATTTGACAGTGCGATTGACAGTATCATATTGGCGTTTTGTTTGTTTGAGTAGATGAAATGTCATTCTCTTGGACTTCCATGTTCTTTGTTCCTGTATAGTCCTGCACATTGGTTGCCGCTGGTGTGCATCAATCTGTTTGTTTAATTAATATTGTTTAATGACCAATGACTGTGGGAAGCGATTTTGACCTGCCGCAAGATCTGCCAAACGCCTTGGGGCTGAGTTTGGCACTTGCAGAGGCGGGAGATGAAGATTGCCAAAGAAGGTGGTTTGATTGAGAAAGAAAACAACATCCTTTTTCCTTTGTACTTGAAGAATTACAATTGTCAGTCAGTTCGTTTGTCCTTTGATTGGCCAAACCAGAAGTTTGACCTGTGAGTGAGCTGGTTCTTCCGACCGGTCAGACCCGTTAGACCCTTCACGGCATTTGGCAAAGGAAGGATGCAAATGATGCCGGTTTATGATGCACGAATCACACAATAATACGATGTAAAAAATTACGTAGGAGCAAGGACGCTCCTGGGGGCTTCTGGCCTTACTACTAGGAGCAAAAAGCTACTAGAAACAAAGGGCATCGCTACTAGGAACAGAAAAAGTTCAAATTGTAAGACAGGCCCTGGCATCCGAAGAACGATTGCACGGTGGAAGCTTGCAGCAGCTTCACAAGTCGAGGCTGTTCGCGAAGTTTGTTTTTTTCGTAACTAGTAACAGCCCCAACATTCCCCTATGTTCAAACAGGATAATCATGCAATGCCAAATGCCATGTTCAGCAACATGGAAGGTTGATGAGTTATTTTTCTTGAACTGAGCAGTGAGGGGCCTGTCTACTGCCCCATGCCGCATGAGAGATGGAGGTACAAACTTGCCTACCAGAAGTTGCATTGCTTGACCAGCAGCTGGCCGTCTCCTGCGGAACGGTGCCAGCCAAAGTTGACAAGTTCACCTTGTTTGCGTTTCTTGCATCATGACTCATGACAGCTTTTGACTTCTGGTCATTGTTTGTTCATGGCCTATATTTCACCTTTTGTAATTGTTATGGGTTTTATACAGTTCTTTTGAGCTTCGGTACTTGATGTTGACCTGAGAACCGAGGCTCCAGGACCCTGTGCTGGAGAAGCAAAACAGCTTAGGCAAAGTGCCAAAAAACATTTGCTTAGGTTTAGTTCTTGTTCACACTGACTTCAAAGTGTTATCCAATGCCATATTTGTGCCATGTCATTTTGTCTCCATGCCACCTACAGACTCTGTGCAAGTTCAAAATCGCCTTTTGCCCTACTGCGGAATATTGCAGGTGCCTTTTTCACAGCCGCATCACTGACAGACCTTTGGTTGCTTTGCCGCCAAGGGAGGGTGTCGTGGAAACCTTGAGGTCGCTTGAGAAACTAACAGCAAGTGTTGGAGCCAGACACTCTTGTAGGCCACACTGTTGTAGGGCACTCTCAGGGGGCATGAGTCAAGCTTTCAAAAGGAGCCTTTCGTCCGAGACTTCCTCCCAAAGCGACGAGCCTCAAAACAGTGAGGCGTCAAGCCCCCAAAACGAGCATTTCACACAAGACTTCCTCCAAAAGTGGTGCGTCAAGTCTTCAAAGAGAGTATGTTTACTAAAATTCTAAGGGCTCCGCCCCTGGTGCCGCCGACCCCTTTTTT